ATAACTAATAGATAAATTACATATTGTCATCTTAGAAATAGTTATTCAAGTCACAAAATTAAAGCATAGAAAGTGAACAATTTTATGAAAATGATATTCAGGTGTTGAAATACATATCACTGAATTTATAGAATCTGTATATCACTGAAAATACTATGGGAATTTCAGCAATACTTAGCTTTTAATATAGACAAAGGTCACATTTTCCCTCATTGGTCTAATTCTTTTCTCAATATTTTATACTTTCCTGAAAAAAGGTCTTTTACATTATAAGTTAAACTTATTCCTAACTATTGTATTTATTCTAATGTTAATATAAATGGAGATGTTTTTCTTGATTTCTTATTTGTATATTAATTTAAAATATTCTATTGAATTTTATGTCCATTTTATATATTGTAAATTGAATATTTTTTATTAGTTTTAACATTAGTTGAAGAATCACTATGGTTTTCTGTACATAAAGATCAATTTTATGCTTTCTATTCCAGTTTGGATGTCATGTATTTTTTATTCTTGCCCACATGCTCTAATATTTCCAGCACCATGCTGATTTGAAGGACTGAGTGGAATTCTTGTCTTCTGGTCTTTGGGAAAAGATAACTCAAATCTTGTCATATAAGACCTATGTGGTTATACATTCCTCTCATACCTAATGGGCAGAGGATTTCATCCTTACAGGAGGTTTCATTTTGTTAGAATTTTTGCATCTGTTGAAATCATCACATGACTTTCAAATTCTTCTCTTTATGTGCATTGCTACCGAAATTCATTTTCATATTTGAAATGCTGGCATGTACTGATAAGTCCTACATGGTGCATAATCCTTTTACTATGATGTTGAATCATGCTGGATATTTTTACATCACTTTTATAAAGAACACAGACCTACACTTTTTTCTCTTTTAGTGTTCTCATCTAAATTTGTTATCAGAATAACTCTCAAATTATAAAATAAGTAAAGTGATGCTAAAAGACTCTTTGGAAGAGGTTGGCAAAACTGACCTTAGCTCTTTAAAGTCTGATAAAACTCAACATTGAATTCATGTGGCCTTGGACTTTATTGGTAATATTTTTATTACTGACAGAATTGCTCCAGTAGTTATTTGTTCATTCAAATACTCTGCTTCTTCATTATTAAGGCTTGGTAAGTAGCATGCTCCTAGAATTTGCGTATTTCTTCAATCTTATCAGCTTATTTATTTGTATATATGCAAATATATGTGCAAATAGATTCATAGGCAGAGGTAGACATGAGAGAAAAGGGCCTCTACAGGTCCATTTTTAATTTTTCTGACATCAATTGTAAATTCTCTTATCAACTATAAATACTGAATTCTTTTTATTAATCTTTTTGAATATTTGTCAATTTTTTTGAAATTTTTAAGAAGTGCTCATTCATAGATTTGTTGATTTCTCGTATTATGATAATCTCTTTATTTCTGCTCTGAAATTTATCATTACTTTCTTCCAAATATAAGCATCATTCGAACTACTACTCGTAGTTCTTTCAAGGGAAAACTTACCTGTGCTCATAAATCTTTTCAATGTAGGCATTCATTATATAAAAGTCCCAACTAAAATTACTTTTGCCCATATATTTAAATATGCCATGTCCACTTTCATTGACTTTCTTCATTATATATTTGTCTTCCTTTTTTCTTGTAATAATTTTGATTTAAACTCTATTTCCTGTCATATAAATATAGCCAGTTTTTATCTTCTTGGGGAAATATATGCATTACATTTTGTCGTCTCTCCAATTCCAGTCTATGTGCATTATCACAATGTGGTATGGTATACCACAGGAATTTTAGCAAAGTGACAGAAGTGGGTAAGATTATATACAGGGAAAGTATTCTTTTTCTTTGAAACACATATTCACCTTATATCTACATGTAGAAGGAAAATGCCTTTTGCTTCTTAGAGTTCCTTCATTTTACTATGAGTAGAGACTGCTGCTGAAGATGTAATTTGGAATCAATTATAAACATAGATGCACACATCATAAAGTAGGAAACAGACCCTTGCAGAGAACATGGCAGGGGCATGAAGCTCACAGGCTAACATGCAAATTTAGAAGTGTTGCTGTGTGGAGTGTGATGGCAGAGAAGGATGCAGTCTTTTGGATCTTAGGGAGTAAGCAATAAATTAAGGAGTTTGCAGCTAAACTAAAACACGTATGATTGCATTAAACTTGAAAAAATATGTGAAACATCTATGCTCTGTCTTATATGTACATGGAATTAAAGTTTGTTTCCTAAGTGCTACAAACTTAAAACCAAGGATAATCATGTTTTCCTTTGCATTTGCCTTGTTTATTGAATGAGTTTCTATCAAAATTCCAGGTTTAAAGCCTGTTTTCCACTAATCCTTACTTTATATAGATAACTTGTACTGTCTTGTGTATTTTTTCTGTCCTCTACAATGTCTCCTCATTTAAAATCATATACATGTTTATAAGTCAACAATATCTAATATAATATTTAACATTATTGATTCTGTTCTATATCTCTTTACAGTAGTCCTAATATTAAGCAACAAAATGACTTTGAATAACTGTTTGTGCTTCAGTACCATTATCTGTAAAATATCTCTAGAGTAATGTTTTCTATCTTTAATGTTGTAAGAAAGCATTGGAGCTAATATTTTCCATTGAACAATGTTGTGGCATTTTACCTATCTTAAACTTCCTTTTCTGTTTCTTTTCAGCCCACACGGGGATCAGCAAAAGAAGCCTTTGTAACAGAAGCAAAACATTTGCAGGTACAGGGTTAGTAATATGCAGGTCAGTGTAATTCACTTCATGTACTTAAGTGCTTACTTCTAATATGGCATATTTCAAAGGTTGTTATCTATATTCTATTTGCTTTCTGTGTCTTTCTGTTAGTTATGGAAGTGTGAATCTCTAGAAAGTGTGAATAGTGTTCTTTTACTTTATGATCTGTTAGTAATCATCAGATAGCATTATTTGTGCTCAGGCAAAGGAGTCAGTGCTTCCCATCACTGATTTTGATTACTTGACAGTGACCTAAGGTAAACAAACAAGATAAACAAAGTATTTAATTTTGGGAGGGAATGATATGGAGTGAGAAAACATTGCTACAGGTAAGATGAAATTCAATCTGAAAGCAGAAGAGCTAGATTTAGATGGAAAAGTATCCCAGAGTACACACTTGACCAAAAAAGAACCCCAGAATGAATATTTTCTGTCTCATAGGGCAGGACTCTTCAGTAAACCAGAAAAAGAATGGTGCGTAAGGTGAAGCAGGTGAACAAAAGATTCATCATGCAAAAGTCTTCTCCTGGAGATGATACTGAGGGAGATTTTGTAACAGAAGATTTGGAAGCAGTGATAAATGTAATTTAAGGTATAAAATATTACTCTACTTCCTAACTGTGAAAATGATTATAGAAGACTAGAACTGATACACACTTAGGAAGTAGCATTTGGAAATACTGCAGAGGTCCACTTCAAGTTCACGATGAGCTAAAAGGATACTTTTGAAGAAAACCCTAATATATTTCAGATTTTGATGTTATGAATGAAAAGAACATTGATTAAATACTATTAGTATTAGCCACTGAGTGATTTGGTATGACAATTGAAAGAAAATAATGATGATATGAATCCTGCACAGCTGAGAATCTAGAAATCATATTTATGCAGCAAAAGAAAGGCAATGAAATCGGATGTCCATGAAGTTTACTGATTTTACCAGTTCTCACTAGCTACCACCGCCTACTTAAGATTTTGCTTTCAAGGTTGTACATTTGGTACTTGAGGAGGTATTTTAAAGGATGTAGTGTATCAAATTGCAACCTGATATAGGCTGATGCTTTTTAAAAGTTTCTTTGAGTATGAGCCTAGTACACGTGGCTAAAACTCAAAACGAGAACTCTAATAAATGCACTGCTGTTTTCCTTGAGCAACATGTGTTTTTCAATATTGCGATTTGGAGTCAGACAGTTTGGAGATGTAGCTCTTCAGAAAGAAGTGATTCCACCCACACACATCACAATGACTTCCTGGGACCAGAAGTTGAGTGTACTCTTTGTATTTTTCTTCTTCCTTGCTCTGAATTCAGATAAGGTGGCATTATTCTCTGTTTAACTACCAACTCAACTTGATTGTTGAAATATGTGAGCTATACGAAAATTATGGGGGCCAGGGATTTAGCTCAGGGGTGTAAGCGCCTGCTTCACAAGCGCAAGGTCATGTCTTCCATCCCCGGTATCAAAAAAAAAAAAAAAAAAAAAAAAAAAACAAAAAAAGAGAGAGAGAGAACCGTGTCTACCTAGCAGATTACTTGGATTATTCTTCATTCTCATACTCAATTTAAAAGGTCAGTGAATAGTTCTGAGAAGCCATCAAGACTTTTACCTGTGACCACACTGACTAGAGTTGTTGGATTTGGGATTGCCAAGTTTTTTATAGAACACATGGCACAGGAAAAGCTTTTGCATGAGAAAGAAGCGACATAGTTTTGAATCCATGTGTGACCGATCCTCCTGGGCTGAACCTTAGCCCTTTGCTCACATCCAACATAGGAAAACAATCTGGCCAGAAAGTAAATAGGAACAGGCGCCCCAAAATATGGCAAAATTGCGAAACTGAAAGCACATTGATATGAACCACTTTTTAAAATTCAGAAACAGTAGCTAAATCCATTTTCAGTGTTCACAAACATTTTGTAAAGACTTATTTGAATTTTTAAGTCTGCATATACTCAAGAAGAAACACAAGATCTTGCTATATAGTTACTTTTAAAATGGAAGTTTGCAACATTATACAAAAATGTATAATTCAAAATTTTATTAAATCTAATGAATACCTTTTATCGCCTCAATTATAGATCAAATACTAAAATGCAAATTGTAATTAGATATGTAATTAACATTGTAAGCATAAAACAAGCTCAATAGTTTATTTGTTAAACTAATGAAAAATGGATTCAAATGAGTATTTGCCTTAAATTATTGTTTTAAAGTGATAAATATTCAAATTCATTTCTTAGTTTATTCTAAGTCAAAATATTAGGCTAGTGCATTCTTAACATAAAAATTAACTGATTGAATTTATACAAGGCAGATTGGAAAAATCATAACACAATCTCAAATTCTAAATTTTTATTTTGGGCAAAAATTAATTTTTAATTATTGATTATACATTATACTTTACTGATTATTAATACAGTGAATTAAAACAAAGATCAATATTTTTCTAACTTAAAAGTTTCACAAATTACATATCCTTTTGTTTCTTTTTGTTGTTTCCTTTACAAATATTCTGATCAAACTTAACATTTTGTTTAAAAGAAAAGGATCACTCTATTGATATATTTTTTTGAAATTTAATGAACTAAAATCAGTGGCTTAATATGGGACACACAAGAGTAAAAGAAAAAGCAGATCATAAATATCTAAATGGGCTCAATAAAAATTATGGAGCTGGATATTTCATGCCATGATGTACTATTTCTGTGTATTTCATACTAAAAAACTATCACATTGGGTAAGCTAAAGAGATGATTTTTATTACAAAAGAAAACCACTACTCTTACTTAATAAACTGATCTCCTGTGGTGGTAATTCCTGATTGCATGGTCTATAGAGAAGTGGAAATTTGACTCTTGTGTGTTCCATTTATTCAACAAATTCCAAGTACAAAGTGAAGCTTCCCAAGGATTCCAAATAAAATTACTATATATACCAAAGTTAAATTTTAAATGATACTATGATGAGAAAATATTAAGAATTAAAAGCTTCTTAAAAATGTTGAAACCTAAAGAGAACAACTCAATCTACATAAATATAAGCCACTTTTCAAAAAGATGAACATTTGTCAAACATATATCCAATGTTCACTGAAGTAAAGGAGGATATTTAAAATCAGACGAAGATGAGTTCTCAGTGAGCTCCTTAGGGCTAGAATTAACAGGATTGCCCAATTCAGCACTTTGGCAAATCTAGATCTATTCTCTCTTTATCTTCTTTCCTGTATTAATAAACTTCTGATAGAAAAATAAGCAACCCTTTGTGACCAACAATATAGCACTTGCTACACAGACCAGCAGGAACCCAATCACATCCAAAGAGTGGTACTGGAACCAGGAGAGGTCATGGGCTGCAACCCGCAGGTGCTTGGCCCCTTTGTGGCGCATCACAAACTCGATCCAGAAGACTGCTCGGTCCAGGGGCTTCACTGGCTGGTCATGGTGAATTCTTGACAGCCTCATGGCATTCTCTTTATAACTAGAGGGAAAACCAGAAAAAGTGGATTGTTTTCACTGAATATGTGACAGTATGTGACATATGTTATTAAAGGAGTCAAAGGTCAAATATAGATTCTAAAATCGTTCATTGCAGTAAGTTTGTTAACTGCTTAAAATTTTAACATTCAAAAGAGAAATATGTGGAAGAAATATTAACACAGTGTGGTCAAGTGCACACACAGGAAAATAAAAAATACTCAGTTGTGCATGTGTGGCTTCATTGTTCTATTAAAAAATTGGTATCACTTTAACTCTACTATCCAGAACTGTTCCAAGACCACAGTGGTGAATGACTCAGAGTTATGGGATAATTTTATTTAAAACATTCATTTCTTTGCACTAACATCTCAGATGAAAAAGCTTTTTTTACAGAAAAAGCTTACAGATAGTAAATATTAATGAGTCATTTTACAACTCTGATATCTTTCCACTGTGATAATTATTCCTTTTCATACATTTTATATTTATAATAAAAAACAATATCTATCAGCTAGATCAGCACTGAATGAAATAATTTACAAAGTGGAATATGCAAATACATGAACTTTAAGTTGGTAAAGTAAATAATATCTTTCCAGTTTATGGTCCCTGACAAGTACAAGTCACTATTGCAGTAGTGATAGAGTCAAGATCTGTATTTCACAAGCAACACTCGGGAGAATTCATTGTGATTAACAGCATGATATGTTTTCACTTCAAGTTTCCTCCAAAGTTCGCTAAAATTAGTAGGTTTCACTTTTCCTTGAGGCTTCACTAAATGATACCTATTGGACTCATCAAGACAAGAGAAGATAAGTGGTTCTGGAAAAGAGTTCCTGGTGTTGGAAATACATTAGGAATGAGAGAAAGAAATATGGTCAGCATTTGGAGATTTATATGGAGCAATAGATGGAAAGCCAGGGATGATTTTTTTGCATTATTCCTTTAGCATAGTGAAAAAAATAAATGCTCAATCTCTTAACTGTACCGAAACATAAATAAGATTCAAGTCACTTAATTATTCTTATCATATCATGCAACCTAATTTGGCAATGAAAGAAGTTTCCACAAAATTGAATTTTTGCTGGAGATATTCTCTATTTCAAGAGAATACATATACTCAATTTATATTCATTTCTGAATTCTTGACCTCGCACTTACCAGGCTAATGTTTATGCAACTGAGCTAAATCCCTAGATCTCATTTCTTTATTTAAAGCTGAAATACACTATGTTTGACAAATTTTTACACGTAAATTCAAACAAAGATAAAATATTCTTTTAAAGGAGAATAGTGGTTCATATATGTACCATGCACTATAACTTTGTGTTCCCAAATATTATCAAAGTTAGTATTATGTGTAGGGTCAATTGAAAGCTTTTTGAAATAATTTTTGGTATTTCCATATAAATTTTACGTGTTTACTATTGCATCCTGACATCAATAGTTTTAAAATCGGTAATAAAAACTAAGGAATATTTTGTGCGTGAGAGTTAAAAGTATCATGGAATTTACATACTTGCATATCCAGAAAATGAAACCTCATAATTTAAACAATTGATTGAACACTGAAGTCAATATTTTTGAATAGCAAAAATATCATAATAAAATTAATGAAACTCTTGATTTTCTAGTCCTTTGCAAAATAATGATTTATACAGTATTCTGAAATATATGATAATTTTTCAGAAACAGCTCTTATTTTAAAACAGTACATAATAATAACACCTAACAGTGAATAATAATAGTTATTTTGAAATGATGAACATTGGGCACATTGTCACTTTCATACTGTATTTACTGTTGTTTGCAACACTTAACTGTCTATTCACAAAATTCAACAGATTGCTCACAAAATGGTATAAAATTGCATATAATCAAAAGAGTATTTTTAGGTAATTTTTAGTTGGTTTAGTTTTTTTTTCTTTGTCTCCCCGTAATACAAAAACCTGTCAGCAGTTGATGCTAAATAAATGATTCTATAGCAGGCATACTATACTACTATTGTACTATTTGCAAGTAACTCAATTAAAAAGATATGAAACATTCCAAATTTCCAGCAGAACAAAAATCATGGTACATTGAAGGCCAGCTTTCACAAGCAGCAGTACTTACGAAGGATCATTGATGACTGTCCTCAAGGCACCCAGCAGGTCTGCACTTGTCATTGTGTTCATGTTCACCTCCACAGCTGCTCCTTTGGCCTTCATGTGAGCAATGTTGTCAGGCTGATCAGCAAACATAGGGACTCCCACCATAGGAACCCCATGATAAATAGCTTCATAGATTCCATTAGTTCCACCATGAGTGATGAAAGCTTTGGTTTTGGGGTGACCTGGTGTAGGAAATGATGTGGATAGACACATAACACATTAGAAATCCAAAGACAGAAAAGACAAAAGGAATTCCATAAGTCAATGAAAAAGGTAGTTTCCACAGAAGCTGAACATATAGCCCTAGCAGGACCTAACTTCCTCCTCACTGTAAGGGAGGCCTCACTAAGGGTGATTACATACCATTGAAACTCCTAGGCTGATGAGCTTCTCTTGTGGGAATGAAGATTAAATGAAGATTCTCTTGTGGGAACCAAAGAAAGCATACACCAATAAATGACCAATTTTTTAATCATGTCTTCCTTAAAACTGGATGTCAAAGGTGAAATGTTGAAGACGTTAAATGTTTTTAATGCCTTTGCTCTTAAAATGTTGCTGAACTCATCTGCTGTCCAACTGAACAGCTCTTCTCCTCTCAGGGTCTTACCAAGAAGGTCATTCTGAGGTATCCAGTCAAACAGCCGAGTATTGGGTCCTAAAGTGGCTGGTTCCTTTCCCTTGTATCTCCATAAAACCTGTGGGAGACAGTGATGTGCATGTCAAAACAGAAAACCTGCATGTGTGCTAAAGCTTCAGAATTATTTAGGAATCACTTGATCACACCTCAGGTGATAATTGAGGGAGGCTATTTTAATAGTAATTTGCAAACATTAAGATGCATAGTTGGACTGTCCACATCTACTTTTTGGAAAAGTTTGTACTAATGTCCTATTATGAACAATACTATTATTTTGGTACTTATCATTAGTGAGTGTACAGTTATTATTTTGATACTAATCACTGGAAAGCTGTTAGGAGTGAGATAATAATTGAAAAGTAGAAAAAAATGAGCAAAACATGTCTTCATGTATTCAATGGGGATTTAAAACATGAAGACACACACGTATAATCTGTAACTTACTTATTAAATGATACTTAATCATTTTTGTTCACAAATGTAATGTTTGCCTAAAAATTTTTATCTTTAGATTCTGTTTTGGCTACTTTTCTCTCATTTTTGAGACAAAATAACCAATGCAAAAAATGAAGCAAGGAAAGATTTATTTAGCTTACACTTTGTGCAGGTCTCACTCCGTACTCAGCTGGTTCCAAGGCAGAGTGGTATAGCTAAGAGGCACATGGTGATGGTGGCTGCGAGTGACAAGAGTGAAAGGGACACAAAGCAGAAGAGCACAGAGCGAAGACTCTTTCTGTCCCTTATATTAAACATTCATTAGTCTTTGGGGGTCAAGTGATGGAATGTTATGCTTTGTGTTTTGATGGTCCCTCAAAGCCTCATGCAGGTATAGAGAGGCACCTGAATTTCACATTTATGAATTTGGTACCAGTGGAGACAGGTAGTTTGCCCTAATTATGTCTGACCACATGGTTCAAGAACCTTTGGAAATGGCTTGTAAGAAGAGTTTGGAAAGGCTCAAAGATATCACCTGAAAGAGTAGTCCCAAACATCTTAGTTTGTTCTATATGGGAGATTCTGGTCAGAGCTCAGATGACCAGTAAAGACCAGGTTCAGGAGGTTTCTGCTTGGGAGAAGGACAACACTGGTTGTTGGACTCCACACAATGTATGTTATGGCTTGGTAGAAAATGTGCGTGAGTTTTGCTCATGTCCAGGGATTTTGCCTGAGACTGAGATGAAGGGCATTGGATTAATTTATCTGGCAAAAGAAATTTCAAGGCAGTTGAATGCTGTGGCATTGGCATGGCTATCACTGGAGGCTTTTGGCCAAATTGATGATGTGATTCAAGAGCAAAGAGCCCAACTGGATGATTTAAAACATTGTGGTTTGGCCTGAAAGAAACCTACAGTAAAGCTGAGGTCTATAAAGATAGAGTTGAGATCTTGATTGCTGGGAAGGAACAGAATAGAAAAGATGACCTGGGAGCATCACAGGTCTCCACCCTTTACAGCCTCAAAAGTTCAGAAGTGAAAGACTTTGTTTTGAGTAGAAATCCATAGAGAGTCATGTTCTAGAATGGCAGTGGTGGCCACAGAAGGTCCCAAAATCATGGTGGCTGCACTAGGTTCCAAAACAGGGACTGAATAGAGAATCTGTTCCTCACAATAAGGTTCAGAGTGCTTAGTAACCAAGAAGCTAGATCCCTACAGCCAACAGTGAGTAAAATCTGGGTAGTGCTCCACCTGGTAGCAGACCTCAGTACTGCCCTACTAGATTTTAGACTCACGTTGGTCCCATTCTTTCATATGGTCCTGTAAATGTTTATATTGTTCCATTGAATATTTGATGTGTTTAACTTTGTTTTCATTTGTATAGGGACTTACAGCTAAGAATTTGCCATAGAACTTGAAGGGGATTTGGGATTTGATCTTTTCAGCAATGTTGAAACTCTTAAGATTTTGGCAATTCTTGGATATGGACTAAATGCCTTTCCCATAAAGGAATGTGCATAAGTCTTTGGGGAACCAGAGCATAATGTTATGGTTTGTCTATAGATGTCCCACGAAAGCCTCATACAATCATGAAGGTGGGCCTTTCAAAGTTGATGGAGTCTAGCATTTGTGATTGGTTCATTGTCCAGTCTAGCATTTGGGATTGGTGATGAGTGTTGCACCCACAGGGTGAGGATGGTTGTGTACCAACATACAGTATAAGGGATGTTGCCCTTTTGCCTTTTTGCTATGGGCACCATGACAAGCTACCTATTAGCCATGACCCCAGCCTTGGAACCAGCTCTGTATGGCCTGAAATCTCCACAAACCATAAGCTATACAAACCTTTCCTTTGTTCATTATTGGCATTGGGTATTTTGTCTCAGCAAAAAGAAAAGTAACCAAGATGGCATCTGTGAGATTTTTATGCTGAAATTTTCTTTTCATAACTATTCTTCCCTCCTTCCTTTATTCTGAATCGATTTCTGTCTATCTTGTTGCCTTCTTGACTCTTTCCTTTCTTCTCTCCATTATATCTCTGTTTTACTCTCTTTTATTCTTTATTCCTATCTGCTCCTGTATTTTTTTCTCTTCTTTTGTATTTCTTTTTCCTTCTTTCTTTCTTTCCTTCTTTCTTTTTCCTTATTAGGGCAAAATTAAGGCGCTTGTTTATATTCCATTTTAAAAAGATATTTGCTGAAATTCTAATAAATTTTTACATAGTCTTTTTGCTTAGAGAAGTAAGACAACCTTTCAATTCAGCAGAAAGCTTTAAAATAACAAGCATACAAATAAGTCTCCTAAATTTTAACACATGTAGAATACTTATCTATATATATAATATGTGTAATTTAACAAATATATGAATAAAATGAGTTTTAGAATATAAATTCAGTTTTATTAAACAGCACAAAAAAGAAAAATGACATTATTGGGCAAATACATTAGAATTTCAACTCATTTTAACCTTAGAATATTCCATTTAAAAGAATAAGTTAATCCAGATTTCTGCATTAAAATTAATCTCATCTTTTATAGAATATAAAACTCAGAAATTTAGAGTTTATTTTTTAGCATTTCTCCTGAGTGTATTATTTTTCTTATCCTAGACCACAGCAGTATCATTTTTAAAAATATTTTGCATTAGTTAGTGCCAGTCAAAATATTTAGAATGACCTAATATTTCCATCTGTATTCCATTAAATATGTGATCAGAAAAGTATGTTTCCATAGTAATTCCAGCATGACAATGATCAATGTAGCAGATGATGACATGTGACTAAACTGTCTGTTATACAGATTCCTACCTAAGGCTTGTGTCAGTTATGCTCCATGTACAGTGAATTTAACTGCTCCCAGCAAAGAGTATGATTTTCTCTAGTCTCTCTGTGGTTAATGCAAAGCTGTTTAGCAGGACCAGCCGGTATACTGACCTTCTGTGGAATCTGGGCGAGGGCTGAAGCAATGAGATTGGCTTTTTCCTCTGTGAGATTTTTCACCATGGACCCCAGAGAAAACACCACCACACCATCTTCACCTGAACTTTGGACAAATTCTTCCATTTCCTGCAGACATCAATTCTCTCCGTTAAAAAGGCACAATATTTGGTGGGATAAAGAGACAATAAGTATGAAAGAAATTGTTACACAGTGTTGTAGCTTTTGTCTAGCTGTTCTCCAAAGCCTCATACAATTGTTGTTGTTTGTCTGTCACCAGGAATTAAACTCCAGGTCTTACACTTGCTAGGCAGGCACTCTGCCACTGAGCTGTATCACAAGTTCCTTCATGCACTCTTGGGTTTGGTTTTTTGGAGTTGCCTGGATCAGAGGTTTGTGGTGCTGGCATTAAGTATGTGAGGCTGAGAATGAGGATGCCCCAGTCTAACTGTACCAGAAAGGCAGGAATCCTGAATGAAATACAAAGAGATATAAAGAGGACTGTTGCTGCTGTTGCAGTTTCTGTTATTTTGCTGTTTCTTCTGCTGCTTTCACTTTCTCCTTTTTGCCTTCTGCATGCCCCACCATGACAAGGACTCTTTCTCTTCTGTGATGCTCCTCTGCCATCCCACCCTACCTTAGAGACAAACAATTAGGGACAGAAACCACTACAAACTGTGAACTAAATAATTCTTTCCTACTTTAACTTGTCAGTATTGAGTATTTTGTGTAAACCACCATAACATAAATAAAACAAACAAGCTCTGCTGTCTGAAATGTGAAATCATGTAGTTCAAGAGAAAAAATATTTATTAAAAATATTCAATTATGCAATTAGTGATTACAAGTACAAGCACAGAATCAAATCATTACAGAAATGAGCAGGCAGTAAGGGGCAACTTTGCTTTGGTGGGACTGAAATCACTATCCACAGGATTTAATTTTCCTAACTGACAAAATTGTTTGTAAGCTTATGAAAGTAGTCATGAAAGAAAGTACTGGAAAGATTCTAGATGTGAGATTGACAAATTGCTAAAAGTGGTTGGCAAATGGTAGACTTTAGGCAACCTGTACGTAGCAGTCACCCAGAATACTAAGTTCCAGTTTAGCAACAGATTGAAACAGAAAACTGACCACTGATATTGTAGAAACATGCTTTCTTTTATTCACACAAGGGCATGTTCAATTCACCTGCTCATCACTCTTCAATTTTAATTATTGGTTATCAACAGCAGTAACATTTTTCTTAACAGAAATGAAGAGTTGTTAGGAGACAGAACATTGTATGAGTGCAATACTAGAGTATTAGAAATCCAGAGGTCTTGGTATTTACAAACACACATAAATGAATTGAAATAAGATATCCTGGCACTGAATGAAGTATGGTTCATCATGGGATAGTCATTTTGACTTTTGTTCAGTGGTAAAAAAAAAATATGAACATATTCCTGTGAGTGCTGACTCTGCTGCTATGAAGACAGTCTAAACAGACAACAGATGGGAGTGTAATCCAGTGAACACAAGAGATTATCATGTGTGTCCTCTGCAATTTAAGGCACGCCATCTTCAGACCACCCCTGCCATGAGCAGCTTCTATACAGCAAGGAGGAAATGAACATTGGCAGAACTAGTGTGCAAAGATAGCTTGTGTAACTCCTACTTAGGGCTCAGAAATTCCTCCCTTTTCTATAATTTCAAGCTGTTAACTGTTTTTGCACTAACTAACGTATTTCTCAAGATTTATGCTACTGGAGCTTGAAAATGAACAGGGACACCTACAATATTTAGGGTCCAGAAAAAATATGACTACAACATGGAAAATATTACTGCCACTAGATTGACAGAAAGATCACAGTCCATGCATTCTGAGAGAACAAACTCTGAGCTTGGAAAAATCTTGGTGGGCACTGGGTCAGGGCAAAAATGTTGAAGTTTGAACACAGTGGATGACATGGTGATCAGCCAGGTCGGTAATTGGTGCAAGCTGATCTGAGACTAGATGTGCCCCAGAGTCAGGATATCTGTGATCTTCATGGCAAGCACAGTCCTCCTGGGATACAAAAGACCACTTTATTGATTAGAATGGTTAGCAAAAAGAGTGCAGCAGAAATTTCAGAAATAAAAACGGATAAGTCAAATAGATATTCAATGACACATCAGCAATAGTCAAGATGATTCAGAGGAAAGGACACATGAGGACAAGGTGCATGTTCCAAAAATTCAGTTAGTAATGATGAGAAAAAATAAAACAAGAAATCATGTAAAGCTTGTTTCAGAAATCTCAGACAGTCTTAAAGAACAAATTTAAGGATGATATGTCTTGAAGATGGCATTGAAATACAGGCTAATGATATTAAAAAGTTTACTCACTAAAATTACTGCAGGAAATTCCTCCAAACTAAGAATGATGTGGATGCCCAAGTAAAGATGGCATATGAAATACCAAAGAGAAATGAGAAAAAAGGAACCACTGCACAACACATTGTAGGGAAGATGCTAGAAATACCAAGCCAAAAAAAAAAAAAAAAATACTGAAAGGTGATAAAATGCCAAATCTTGTGTGAGGACAAATCCATCAGAATAATAGCAAATTTCTCAATGGAAAACTTAAAGATTAGGAGAACTTGGAATGAAAATTTTCAAAACCTGAATGAAAATAATTTTTGATAAGTATTATTGCACCCTGCAGAGATTTTCTTCAGAACCACAAAACCAGCATCGCAGAGTGTCTAAAGAGAATGGGAAGAACAAGCACCACCGGCCCAGTGAAAGAAAAATCTCACTCAGAAACTGCTTATCAACAAACAGAGATAGCTCCAGCACTAAAAACACAACAAGAGTGAGTTTACACAATTAATAATTGCTCATAGTGTATATCAAATTAGTTCTCCAATAAAAGGCATAGATTGACAGATGGAGTTAAAAACAAGCTCTATCTATATATGGCTTTCAAGAGAGAAACTTCACCTGCATAGATAAGTGGGCTAAAGTAAAATAATAATAATAATAATAATAATAATAATAATACTCCATGCTACTGCAGCTTGAAAATGAACAGGGACAGCTACATTTGTAAGTAGCAAAGTTGATATCAAAACAAAACTGGTCAGAAAAGACAAATGAACTCAGTTTATATAAGGAAACAATTCACCAAGAAGAAACAACACTTATACTTATTTCTGACAACTATAATTGTTATAAGGCATTATTAGGAAACGGTTCACCAAGAAGAGATCACACTTATAAACATAAACAACAAAGGCCCTCACAACCCGGTTCCTAAAACAAACACTACTCCACATAAAAAGAGACACCAATACAGTCCTGGTGGGTGCAAGTGAATGCCCCATCTCATCACTGAGGTGAACGAGATGAAATAAAATAAAATAAAATAAAATAAAATAAAATAAAATAAAATAAAATAAATGTAAGAGTTAAATTATACTATGGATCAAACTGATTGAACAGATACCTACAGTGTGTTTTATCCAATAGCAGAATATGCTCAATTTTCAGAACTCCATGAAGCTTTTCATAAAATTGACCAAATTTAAATCCAAAAAGTCACTTTTATGAAATATAAAAGAAATTGATCACAGTTCAATAATATTAGAAAACAACAGCAAATTAAATTGTATAAACTATATACCAAGAAGGAGACTGAGTCACATACTTGAACTTCCAATGGTTCACTGAGAAAATTAGAGGATTTTTTTTTAAATTCCTTGAATAAAACTACAGTGGAAAGAAAATATACCCCAATGTGTTGGGAACAATGAAGGCACTTGTAAGGCTGAAGTTTATAGCTATGAGTGCCTACTTGAGAAAATGAATGATCTTAAAGATACAAAACCATGAAAGCTATAATATCTCGGTAAAATGAGAACCATCAAACTGAAAATCAGTACATAAAATGAAATAATAGGTATCAGACATGAAATTAAAAGAGTAAGATGTAAGTGTTTATACCACTTTTAAGTTCATATTTGAACAGGTAAACAATGTTAAAAACCCTTAGTCAAATCTACAAAAAGAAAGAAATGGCACAGAATAATAAAGTTAAAACTAAAAAAAAAAATTGTCAAAAGACACAATTGAAATCTAAAGAGTTATTTGAAAGTATTTGAAAATTGTTACTCCATTAAATCAGAAAATCTGAAAACTATGGTTAGATTTGTAGCCACATAAGACATAAAAAATTTGAAGCAAGCATATTAAAAACAATCCAAAGAGAACAACAGCAACTGATGAAATTGATACAATAATAAAAACTCTACCACCTAACAAAAACTGATAGAATTAACTATTTTTTTCTACCAGACCTTTACAGAGAAGCTAACATCAGTATTCTTCCAAATTAACTGGGTAATAACAAGAGAAGAAAGGCTTCTAAATTAACCTTACAGTGCCATTATTACTCTGATACCAAATCAAGTAAAAACTCAAGCATGTTAGCAAGCACTAAAGGAAAAGTCACATAAATTTTGTCCTGTGTAAGCTACTATATTTTCAAATACATAATTCAATAATTATAAAACAATGCCTGAATAGAATGAAAGATAAAAGTTACATCAGCATATCTAGACATACAGAAAGTCTTTGAGAAATACAATATCTCTTCTTGATAAAAATGATTATTAAAAATAAATATCAAGGAAGGACTGTGGATTTCTAAGCAAACAGGAGAGTATCACCAGTTCCAGAGGCCTGGCATCCTGGGGTAAGTGCCTGTGCACTCTCCCCTGAGCCCAGCCTGTTCGGGACCCTGGAGCCTTCCTGATGCACTGAAACAACTAGGCGGGTCTGAGGCACCTACATCGGTCTCCCCTTTCTGGCTGCATTCAGAGAACAGTGGAGTTCTAAGCAACCAGGCAGGCACCCACTCTCCCCAGAGCCAAGCCTGTTTGGGACTCTCGCACCATCGGGGTGCAGTGGAACTAGGCAGGTCTGGGGCGCCTGCATCTGCCTCCCATGTGTCTGGAGGACTGTGGGTATCTAAGCAACCAGGCAAGCATCACCAGTTCCAGAGGCCCAGCGTCCTAGGGTAAGTGCCCCATGCACTCTCCCCTGAGCCCAGCTTGTTCAGGCCCCTGGAGACTTCCAGGTGCAGTGAAATGGCTAGGCAGATC